AAGTAAGAGTAAGTACTTGTTATGTGCTACTTATGTGCTACTCAAAATGCATTTATTTATGTTAATAATTATGTAATAATTACTTTATTATGTTATATATGATATTATGTAGACATATAATATATGTATATATACGTACATAATAAAATACAAAGACTTATATTAAATGAAAACTGGGAATGAACGTGTTAAAAAAAAATTTAACCTTTAAAATCGAAGCAATTGAGTTGGCTGCTAATTTCACTTCAAATAGAAAGAAACATTACAAAGACAGGTGTTTAACCCCCCACCAAATAAATAAATAAATAAATAAAAAGGATACGGCTAACTATCTCATATCTAGAGGTGCGAGTGTGATTCACAGTTCAAGGGCGAAAACATCAAGCTTCACCGGGAGGAGGCGCTATTCTGGGGCTGAGCAGAAAAAAACCGCCAAAATATCTTCTGGCGTAGAAGAAGAAGGTTTTGTCCAATCACAAGCTGTGTTTGTTGTTTACCGGAAAAGATCCAGTTTAACGTTTCACGTTTGGAAAACTGCAGAAAGGTAAGGCTGGAGATATATGTCTTTTAAATAAATGTAAGACCTTTATTGCATGTTGTATGTTATTTAATAGGAATTATTTTTTTCTCTGGGATTCATTGGAAAACATACATGTGCTCACTTTGAGTATGTCGTATTCTGTGTATGAAAAATGGAGATCAACAAATAACCATTCTTATCGAAAGCCAGAAAAAAAATATTGTTTTAAAGTAAGTATTACTTTTGGCTGCTCTCAGATACTCAGGCAGACTGAAAGCTGTCCACCAAAAAGTTTCATCCTGTGCTGTGATGCATGGATTACATAGCTGAAGGTCTGACAGACAGTTATGGTTGACAGGCAATCAGACAAGTAGGCTGGTAGAACAACAGAAAAAGCTGTAAACAGGTGGAGTAACATTAAAGTCATCATGAGTTCTGAATCAATTGCAGATGATTCATTGTTTGTTTTATTTCTGAGTACACTAGTGTGCTGGACATAAGAGCTAAAAAAAACCCTACTATTGTGAACCTATAGTGACATCTGCAGTTGAAAAATTATTTTAATTGCAGAAAAACACTCAGATTAAAGGCTGAACTTTGTGGCTCAGTTTGTCTCACATACAATTTTTTCCCCCTTTTTTTGTAGTCTGTGACTGTGTTTGATAAAAGAGACTGAGGTTAAATTAAAAACTAAAAATGTACTTTCTTTTTTCTTCTGTCTCCTGGCTGCAGGATGTCCTGTAATTCCAGTGTTATTCGACTTTGTGCATCATCAGTGGGACAGGCACCGCAAGCTCCAGTCCACCTCATGCCATGTGAGATTGAACACAATGGGCCAGCACAGGTCAACCAATACTTCACTGCTACCACCAAAGACCAGAAACAAGGTAAACACAAAATCTTTTGATATCTGCTAATATGGATTTATCCACAGTGGACAGATAAAAATGTAGAGATAAAAGATCACTAAATGTGTAAATAAAGCAAACAGCTGCCAGTATCCTAGTTTTAAACTATTTTTGCTGCTTTTTTAATAACTGCTGTTTCTGATATGATTAATTTGTTTTGGGGGTAAAAGTGGAATGGTTTTTAAGAATTCTTGGAACTTTTAGTTAAAGTGAGTTGCTATTTAACACTTAAGTAATAAAAATGTAGCTTTATTGTCCTTTTTGAGACAGAAAACACTAACAAAGCGCAAAAACCAGCATATGCTAAAGCAAAGTGGACACATATGAACACTACCCGAATGTCTGTCTGAACAGATGAGTTTTAAGCTTCATTATAATGGATGCCACAGAGTAAAGGGTGTGTGCAGAAAGTGGTAAACTATTCCCTAGTTTTGGAGGTTTGGAAGTCACTATCATATTTAGTTTTCAAATGGGTTTGCAGAATCACAAGAAGACCCCTACCTAAGGACTTGAGAACACAAGTGGAGTAGTTTGACAAAATATGTGGGGACCTCAACCTGTAAGGTCATAAAAGTGAGACCCAAGATTTTAAACAATTCAAAAACTTTAAAAGTGGGATGTTATGCGAAGATTTATGAGAGTGAGTTAAAGCCTTACAGGATCAGTTTAGACAGACTGGAGGCGACAAGTAGGTGCTTTAGGAAAGAAAACTGCGCATTACACAGCACACATCAAGAATCCTCAATGTTTTGTTTTTTCCTTTCACATTGTAGATAAGTCAGTGTCATTCAGGGGACGTGGGTTAAAGGGGCAGGAGATCAGCTGTCCGCAGGGCTACACGGGGCTGGTACTGAAAGAGATCAACAAACCCGGCTCAGACCAGGAGGTAAATACCACTGGAGTTGTGGGTCCAAGAACTATTTCATAAAATCAGATGCGTAGATGAGGTTTTTGTAACTTGTGTTTATGTGTGTTTTCAGGACAGGACAGTGAAAGTATCTTCTGTATTTGACAAAATGACCTACTGGAACCTGGAAACACCTCCTAATTCAGACGATACTATTGTGATGGCAATGGATTGGCCTGATTTGGCTGAGGCAGTGAGTTGTTTTTTTCCCCTCTTGGATCCTTTAATCCAAGATCAAACCAAACTTTGTCTCCTAGTAATTAATATTTAATACATTTAACATAAATAATGTGTGCTTTTTTTGGTGAAATATGACCCAAACAAGCTTGGGATACCCTTGGCTGTATTTTGGAGCAGGTTCATATACTATTCAGTCACCTTTAATCACATCCTACAAGAAATTAAGCATGTAATACCAGTTGTTGCTTGAAGCTGCTGTTCTGAGTTAATTACCAGTTATTTCCTGGATCTATATTACATTTCCATCTGTGGCTATTCAGTACATGTTCACCGGGTTTCATAAATATAACGTTTTCTTGTAAACTCAAATTACACTGCATTGAAAACCTCAGTTGAGGCTCATTCTCTTTGGTGGAGGAACTGTGTTTAATTCAACTGATGAAAATGCAAAAGACACAGACAGAAATATTTTCAGATATTTGCAGGTTTGTCCTGATATTTTGTCCCTTCACAGATCCACGCTCCAGTAGAAGACTGAAGAAGCCGCCTGATGTCTCCTCAGCATTTTACATATGAAATGCGCCGCTTGCTGGTTATTCATGATAACTGGTGGAAAGGCTTAAGAAATATTTTCAGTAAGTGTTGCTTTTGCAGAGCAATAAGTTACACAACCTTTGTATATATCTTTAATGACATGTTTTTTTTCTAGTGAACAAAAAATAAATAAATAAAAGTCACTGACCAAAGTGTGCAATGTTTTATTCACTGAAAAAACTACCATGTTCATGTGGCACGTTCTACTCAACACTGTTTATTCACAAGGGCACATTTAGATTCTGTAGACTGGCTACTATAAAACCCTCTAATATGTATTAACTGCAATTATGATATGATAACGGTATGGTAATAATGACACACAGCAGCTGTCATACAAATACACTTAAGGTGGTGCAGAATGAAAGAGTGTTTAACATTAACTTAAAGTTTAAATAGAAGGCAGAAAACTGCATGTGTTCAAGTGTGTCGATACTGTGGTGGTTCTCAGTCATGGTAGTTTCAAGTGCTTGAAAACTATTCATTGCAAATGCTTAAATGACCCTCAGGTCCACCTCCAAGGATACAGTCCCCACTAAGACTCTCAGACAGCTGATGAAGCTGCTTGGATGAGAGGCAAGAAGAACATAACGAAGTCCAGCTGCCTTCTTTTCAAGCACTTGAGACGATATGCTGTTCTGTCAAATTACAGAAGTAAAACTGGTATGAGATTAATCAACCTGTTAGCTAATCAAGAAATGTTGGCCAGGAGCGTTCAGGGTTTTGTCTCCTTGACAACATTTGATTGTATCTAATGAACAATGTCAAACAAAGTCTGAAATGTGTGGTGATAAGACACAGAAGTTACGACCGGACATGCACAGAGCTGGGAGCATAACTTGCAGTAAACTACAATGTAAAATCCAATCCTGTGCAGGTCACTGGAAATAAAAAAGTTAATTTAACACCTTTATCCATTTCCATTATTTTCAGATGTAACTTCAGTATTTCTGGATCAGTTACTTTATGTTCCTCATTTGACACTTACTGCATTGGAGATAAAGAGGAAGGAAATGAAAACAAGAGAAAGAAACAAGGCAGGTATTGACAAAGTGACTTCAAAACAGTTCGAGCTCACATTTGGGGGTTTAAAATGGCACAAAAATCAACTTTCTGGCACTGAAAGAGCAGTCATACAAATTTAACAAATAAAAAAATAAAACCTTTGTGTTTGTTTTGAGTTAATAAAGCATAAGTGGTATAGTATGTCACAGCGAGGGATTCTGAGCTCTGGGTTTGAAGCGATATGGCACTCTGAATTCGGATCTGTGGAGGCGCACGCCGGGACAGCGTCTTTGGTGCACTCCATCAAAGGCCTACAGGCTGCCTCAATAATGTGTAATTGTTTTGTGTAATTTTAACTTTGTTTGTTCGTATGTATTTGTCTTGAAATGTGCTGCCTCTTGGCCAGGACTCCCTTGAAAAAGAGGTCTTTGATCTCAACGGGACATTCCTGGTTAAATAAAGGTTAAATAAAATAAAAATGACTAATATTTTTAGACATCTTTTTCATCTCTGATAATTTTAACAAACATACGTCTTTGATGCAACAATGATGAAGGTATTTAAAATTACAAACTTGGGTGCAAGGTGTCACTTAATATTACAAAGAGTACACAACAGTACAGCTATCAAATCTGTTCCAGGGCTCCAGTAGACAACAGTGAACATTAAACAGATTAGATTTGTGAATAAAAGAAGTACCAATATGTGTGGGTAAGATTGGGATCAAATTTCCAGAAAGGAAAGTTGGGGTATCTGTGGAGCGTTTTTAAAGTGAGAGATATAAAAGTCAGTCAGTGGCAGGGGTGGGAAATTTTGTCTCGGCCACTCAAACATTTAACCAGCCACGATTTTTATTTTGTTTGTGTAACATTTGCCTTGTTACACATGTGTGTAACATTTGCAATGTTGCGTTATATTTACTCCAGAAATATAACGCCACATTGCAAATGTTACTGATTGATTTTTCCTCCCTCTTCTAGATCCCCCTTTTCCATTAGTACCTACTCGGATTGATTTGCCATGGGAGTCAACTCAGATCGACTGGTTCTCCATTACAAATCAGTACTACCTAACCTGCGTGGTTGTCATCACAGCAATGCGTCAGAAAACCCTGCAACTTTATTAATATGCGACATGAACACTACAAAAAAAGGTGGACGTTGAGGCAAGAATATACCTGCTGCTCGGTCTGTGGCCTTTCGTCAGACTTGGGGACCACAGAGTTATTTTTGTAGCCATTTCCCCTGCTGCTGGGTTTAAAAAATGGTGGTTTCAATTTTCACGAACGTATGTAACGAAATATGTGCAGCAGGCTAAGCGTAATTTATGGTCCCAAAAATGTGTTTGTCAGCGTACATCTTTCCATTCGGGGTGAAAAATACAGAACAGGCAGTGGCTGCAGTTGACAACTTTTTACTGTTTTAACACTCTGCTTCACTTCAGCTCTTTTGTATGTCATATATGCTGTATGTATGCTGATGGATCAACAACAGCACAAGCAAAAGTGGCTCACAGACCGGTTGCACCACATACTTTGTACACTGCCTCCATATGACAACGGAGCTCTCTGCAGGTATACGGGCAACCCCAAAACTGCCAGCGGACAGCAAACATGCTCTCTCTGTTGGACCATAAACTCAGCTTTAGAGTGATTAAGGACAAAGAGAGATGGAAACATACTGATGAATGAAACGTGTGGTGAGCAGATGGAAGGAGTACTTTAAGGAGCTGATGAATTAAAAAAAATCAGAGAAGAGGACAGACAAAAGATAGTGAATCAGGAAATGCAGAGGATTAGTAAGGAGGAAGTGAAGGCAGCTATGAAGAGAATAAAGAGAGGAAAGGTGGTTGGTCCAGATTACATACTGAACAGTATGGAGTCTTTGAGAAAATGTACATACTGTACATTTTGTTGTGGAATTGAAAGGTGTCTGTGTTAGCTAAGAGGTGGAGGTGGTGGTGGTGGCTGCGCTGGCAGAGAGGACTCTGTGTCTACTTTGCTGCGTTTGGCTGGCAGTGTGTGGTCATGCGCTTTGCGAATGTGTCGGTACAGATCGCCCGATTGTGTGTAGCTTCGGTAGCAGTAGCGACACTCATACGGCCGCTCCCGTGTGTGCACAATGGCGTGGCGTCTCAGGGTGTAGGTGCACGAGAAAGTTTTTCCACAGACACCACACGTTGGTACGTCCTCTACGAAGTTTCCTACAGAGTCCTGGAGCTCCTGGAAATATGCAACAGGGTCGGAGTGCTGCTGAGATGTGGATGGAGGAATGAGGGATGCAGTGAAAGAGGAAGCATCCTGGGAGGAAGGTCCAGCCCCAGAGGAGGAGGAGGAGGGAGAGAGGGGGAAGGAGTAATCATTTGTTTGGGAGGTCAATTGTAAGAAGCCCTGTGGGTGAGAAGAGAGAAACTGAGGGCTGTTCAGATCTTCTTCCTGGATGTCATCTTCAAAGTCATCATCAACTTCCATCACGGGTTCTCTCTCTTTGCTTTCCTCTTTCTCATCCTCTAGCTCTTCATCTGATATAACAATGGCCTCCACTTTGACTTTCACATTCTCTCCATCATTGCCTCTCCTATCTGTTCCCATTAGAGGGTGATTTTTAGTATTAGATGAAGCTCCAGTGCCCCCCTCAGGTCCTTTAAGCATTTGTCTCTGAGGAGGAGGAGGAGCAGCAGCGAGGGATTCTGAGCTCTGGGTTTGAAGCGATATGGCACTCTGAATTCGGATCTGTGGAGGCGCACGCCGGGACAGCGTCTTTGGTGCGCTTAATTGTAAATGTGAGGTCAGAGCTGATGCTTGGATCAACATAACCATCTGCTGTCCTTTGCCTAATGTACTTCTGTCATCAGTGACTGAGGGTTCCCCTAAAGAGCCATTGCGTGGGAGTTGCGGTTCATCAGGATGTGCACTGGATTCTGACTGGGGAAGAGCAACCAGTGAGCGACCAGCAGCCTGGCTCACTGGGACCAGAGAAGAAGATGAGGAGGAAGGCTGCTGGTTACTGCTGAAAAATAAAAAGGAAGACACAAAGCCTTTTGATAAAAATAAATAAAATGTTCAATTTCTTATGGTTTAATCTAAATAATGATCATTAGTCCTCTCAGTGAAGGCTGTATTGAAATCAGATTTTACTTTGCTTCTCAGTTGTATATATATATATATATATATATATGTATATATGACATTATATAATTATATATATATAATATATATATACTACTATTATATATATATATATGTCCTTACACCCTTAGAAACATCTGATTATGAAACTGAATTAAAGACAACACTAAATAATTATAGAACAGAATTAAGTAATGTATGCTGCCATTGAAGTGTTCTTGTTTTTCCTTATTTTCTGTCTGTAAATCAACAATTTATCTACCTGCATGTCTCAGTGGTGCTACAAGGACTACAGAGTGCTGTGCCTTCTCCCTGATGCACAGCCCCCATCCTGATGTGACCTCCAGGAGCAGGGGCAGACTGGCCTGTGATGAAGCCTTGCACCAGCTCTCCACCTGGGGGCAGAGGAGGGCCATCCATGCCTGGCTGGGTGGTATCGGCGAGATCGGGGCTCAAAGGAGTCTGAGCTCGTGCCTCTGATGACTGCCCACCAGTCCTTTGTTCAGACTTCACAGTCTCCACATGGCTCCTCTCTGCCACCATGGATGCTGATAACAGTGGTGCAGCTATGGTGACTGGATTTGAGTGATCTGATGCCATGGCCACCATGGGCTCTGCTCCACGGTCACCCCCATCCTTCCTCCGTGTCTCTATTTCCTTCCTCGAACCAGCACTCTCTTCAGAGCGTGTGCTGTCTGCCTCAGCCAGAGGCCCTCGTCTCTGCAGCCGCCTCTTGCAAACTCTTACTACCTCATTCATGTGTAGAAAGCTTGCAGCTGCCAATACGTCCTCCACTGGAGGTGACTCTTCAAGCTGCAGCACTCCTTCATAGACAAAGTCCAAGAGCAAGCCAAATGCAGCTGATGTGACAATGTCACTGTCGAGCGTGACAGAGCTGCTGGTGCCGTTTCCTCCTGGAGAGTCTGAGTAGAACATATGGAAGAATGGCGAGCAGGAGGCCAAAACAGCCCGGTGAGCCAGGAAACGGGATGAGCCCACCAGGACGGTGCAGTCACAGAGGAAGCCCCGCTGGCGCTGAGACCGCAGGGCGGACAGCAGCTGCTGGGAATGCTGAGGAAACTCCATCACCTGAGCAAAAGAGACAGGGAGAGATGCGTTTAACCCCTACAAGTGAAAGCTTCTGTATGAAACTATACTGAATCACAATACAGTAAAGCAAAGCACAATTATACAAAAAGAGGATCTGTTCTTGTGGGATAACTGTAGGTAAATATTGTGCACTGGAAAATGTTTAAAATGTCCTCAAAGCTGGAAACACATTATAGTTATCACAGTGTGTAATAAAGCATTTATGACATGTCTGCTTTATAGGGAGACAAAATGTTACCTATGCACAAAATAAAGCACAATAACCTAAATAAGTTAATTAACTTATTTTCTCTGAGTGACTAGGGTGAAACAGTGACAGTGTGATTTTTTTAGATGTACTCTTTAGATAAATTAATGTTAATGCTTAGATAAACATCTAATAATATTTTATAAGACTACCTGTAGAGAAATCATAGGGGGACACTACAGCTAAATACAACACAAACATTTCCTAATTACTTACACTTACTAACAAAATATATATGATTTCTGACACTGTTCCTTACAAACGATAACTGTTGAATAATGACATGTCTCATCTAATTTTGCACCAAGATACATTACTTTTTCAGAACAGACACTGGATAATGCCGAGGTCAGAATTGCTAGTGCAAGATTTATACAGTTATATACAGTTATGCAGTTTTTTGTTGTTGTTGTTGTTTTTAAATCATTATACCAGTAAATAAATGGCTACGGCTATAAATAAAAAAGAGAGAAGCTATTTTTAAAATTGGAAATGGATTATTTGGAGCAAAAAGTTAAAGTGGCTATCACCATATATCGAGAGAGAGAGAGATAAAATAAAAGACTCACGGCAAACTCTTCGTGTTTCCGTCTTTCAGCGCTGTTTAATGGCAGGTAAGACTTTAAACAGCCGTCCAGCTTTAACGTTGCTAACATTAGGTTTCCATGGTGACCTGCTCGAATTCTTCGGTCCGCTGGCAGATCTCTTCATCCACGAGCTCAATCTGTAACATGGGACGTTTCACACAAACAGGAGAAGAAGAAGCACGACTGAAAGCGTACACTTTTCAGAAATCCCCCCTGCTGCCCAGCCAGAAATTCAGGTAACCCAAGCTCAACGATGCTAGCATTAGTTAGCCAAGTTAGCTCAGGTTCTGTGTTCAGTTCCAGCACCAGGAGTATCCGGACAGTCCCTACTTTAGAGCCTGCTATTTACCAGATAGGTTATTATTTACCACGGACGGAAACGATCGTTTCTATTCTTGAGTGCGTCATTGTTTTTGGTGGGTGTCCTGAACATTTTCTTACCTGCAGCCACTCAGACAACAGCTGTCTGTCTGAGTGATGTTTTCCTCCAGGACAAAAAAAAAAGAAAAGAAAAGAAAAGAAAAAAAAAACCCCCGCTTTTCCTCTGTGGTGCCGAATTACCGGAGCACTGCCCGTCACAGTGCCACCTGCAAGCGGAGAACGGGAACACACAGGAAGCGAGAGCAAGCCAAAACGCTACGCGCAATGCACTGACAACAAATATTATCCTATGCAACGTTTCGCAGAATTAAAACCAGTGAAATTTATCATACAACAGCTGTAAAACGAGGTCTGAAAAGCTGAGCTGCCTGTGCGTTCATGGACAGTGCCAAAGGAGGGGGAGGAAGTGGCAAAAGAGGAAGAGGAAGGAGAGGACATCGTGGTGGAGAGGTGAGAGTTTGTTGACCCATTCAATTGGGATAATTTCCCGTCTTTTTAATATCTCATAGTATTAGCTGTATGACAGGCAGTATGAGGGTTTTGGCATGGTAAAGTCTAGGTCCTATATTTAAACCACAGCTATAATTAGAACTAAATTTCAGTGTGTGTGTATGTTACTGAAAGTGATGCCTTTTCCACCACCAGGACAGAGATGTCCGCCTCTCTAAATCCATGTCTTATGCACTTCGCCATGGAGCCAGCCAGATGGGTCTGCAAATGGGTACAGGTGAGCTGCTTACAGTCAGATCTAGGTAACACAGATAATGCAGGGTAGACTGGTAGGGATGCAAATTTAGCAAGGACTCTAAAGGAGTTTTCATTTGAAAAGTAGCAAAAGTAGCAAATTTTCATATAATTACCTGCAATTACACACAGGAAGTTCACAAACACTTATAATGAGCATCAAAACCAGCCTCACACTTACACCTCCAGAAATACCTCGTGATTGTGGTCAGTTAGCTCTATCCTTGTCTCATTTAAGCATAAAGCTTTTCTCCAGAAGTCATTTAGCTTGTCCACGTGGGCAGTATAATCATACTATAATCATTCTGCAGTTCAAATAAATCATTAAAAGCCCTAAATCACCACTATTAAGGGCTAAGACAAGTGATGTGTACTGAAAACATAAAGGACCCTGATACATAGAGATAACCTGCATCTAATTAATGTCACCATTATAAAGGACATTTAAGAACGTAGCCTGTACATATGTTTACCTAACAGCAAAATTAAGATGGGCAGTTTAAAATAAATAAAACCCAATATAAACATTTTACTGAGTACCCAATATGACCTTTAAAGAAAATGATGTCATTCACCCAGGTATTTGTAGTATAATACTTTCTTCACAAAGTCTTCTGCTGGATATGCTTACCAATATTATCTGAGATCTGAGGGTGATTTCTGTAAACCAACATAAATTTGGTTTCCTTAACATTAAGAAGCTGCTTTAAACAAGACAATTTGGAGCTCTGACTCAGAGCAGGGTCAGCTGGTACAGTATTATACATTGAGCTACAGCCATTGCTCAGTTCCGGTAATTAGTGTATAAGGACGTAGTGTATCTATTAATCAGACGTTTGGTAGTTTGATCCCTGGTTGTTCCCAATGTGTATCTTGCTAAGGCACATTCATCCACTGATGCATCAGAGTATGAATGTGTGTGAATGTTAGACAGAAAAGCACTTACACTAAAGTTGTGCCTGAAATCTGCTGGTCTGCTCGTCGAGTTTCATGGTTGTTGCTCCTTTTACTGCTGGGATCACTTTGGACATTCCGCATCTCCTCCAGTTGTTGTTGGTACTTCTGTTTTCTTGTGTTCCTTCTTTCTGATATTGCTGTCCGCTGGGATTGCCACATCTATCACAGCTGCGGTGTTCTGCTCCTTGTCAGCCAACACTATGTCTGTTTGGCTGGCCAGCAGCTGCTTGTCTGTCTGGAACTTGAAGTCCCACAGGGCCTTAGCCCTGCCATTTTCAAGCACCTTCAGCAGTGTTTGCCATGAGGACTTGGGGATTTCTAGTCCATATGTGGAACAGATGTTCCTGTATACTATCCCAGCCACTTGGTTGTTTCTCTTGGTGTATATTGTCCCAGGTACCATCTTACCTTTTTCTACTATGTGCTGGAGTGTCTCTGGAGCACCTTTGCACAGTCTTCAACTTTGGTCTTTATCAGCTGTGCTAGATTTCTGCCTCTATGGAGCTTGTGCTTGTAGCCCTTTCTTATGCTCCTAGGATCAGAGCCTAGGAGCATAATGTTTTCCTTTAGGCATGTACAAACTATGCATTGGGAAAGTCTGAGGACGCACAGAGATTAGTACCAACTAACTAGAGGAACCTCTGATTATTATCATTCATAAATTTGATTCATTGTGTTTTGTCTACATGTGATGCTGGAATGCATCCTTAGAAAACACTGGTGAAATATCTAGAGTTGTCTTAACCACAATCACGTTGCTTGATGTAAACAACAAGAAGGGTAAAAAACTTCAGTTACACCAAAAAGACTTATGCATTCAATATGAAATAAGTAGTGTGAACAATTATAAGCAATTAGAAAAGTGGATGATACATACTTCTGATGTCCATACAACAAGTTTCACCTATGGACAGATCCCATTTAATGATGTTGTCATAATTTTGATAGCAGATGCAGACCTTAGATTTATTTTTATTTTTATTAATTTTAATATTGAACTTTTTAACATCCTTTTGCTGTTTTTGGGATTATTTGTAGAGAAAATGCTGCCAAATTGGATCAGTGCCTCAAACAAACAAGTTGTTGCTCACAGGGCTGTAACATCCACAGGGGAAATTTGACCATAGTCATAACAGCTCTCTTCACATATAGACGGCTTCCTGTTTGTGGAGGATCTCCTGGCTCACCCGCAGTTCCACTCGTACTCGTTGGAAGACGTTGAGAGAGTTGTGGCCACAAATGACAAGCAGCGCTTTAAGCTCTGTACCCACCCTGAGGATGGCCGGCTGCAGATTCGGGCCAATCAGGGTCATTCAGTACAGGTAATGAGAGTTACAAAATTGTAAGACATGTCAACACCTGTAAACTCTGAGAAGCTTATACTTGCTGTTGTCAGCACATTGGCTATGTTGCATTATCCCCTAGCTAGATGCTGAATTCAGTAAATATTCAGTTTGTTCTTGCTGATCAGCAAATGATTAGAAAAATATGATGAAAATGTGATTTATATACTTTTGGGACATAAAACCAAAAAGCAACTCAGAAAATGCAGACTTTGCTTTAGTCAAATACCCAATTTGTGCCTTATATACTGTAGATGTGTATGTGTGGGAGAGTGTTAGTGAGTCAAAGACTATTTTGAAGAAGTTACTCTATTTCTTTGCATTCTTGTCATGGAAGAAGTCCTACAACATGGTAAAACAAACTCCATTTTATCCCAAATAATGTAATAAATCAATGTAAATAGAGTCTTTGGAATATCAGCGTATCAGTGTCTTAGAATTAATCCCAAAATTACATTTTTAACAATCTTAAATTACAGGAAAATACACGGATACACAGAGTAGCTGTCTTTAATGTGTACAGACTGATAATGATTATATGTGTAGTCAGGCCTTCCCAAATGCCCCACTGATGCTGGAAAAACCCTGCACGAGCGTTTGCATTTGATGTTAGGTTTAGGCCCAATAACAATGGGGAATATCTTCCTTTTAAATTTTTTGACACTGCCACTGTTGTTGACATTTCAGCTGAGCATGGGATCAGTCAAACTCAAACTGGGCTTGAGTTTAATAATTTCTCTCACTATTTTCTCCGATACTAATCAACTGCCCATGACTAATTACTAAAACAAAGCAATAGTAACCAGAATGCCTTTCTTTACCAGATTTAAGGCGGCTTTGTAAATCTGTGGCTATCCTGGCTGTGTTTCCACGGTCAGGTTGTGGATCTGGAGCTGAAACCGGTCATGGCTGGTTCTCCAGACTGCCCTGCTGAGGCTGTTCATGGCTCCTACCTCAGAAACTGGAGCTCCATCCAGCAGCAGGGCCTGAGCCGCATGAAGAGGACACACATCCATCTGGCACGAGGCTTGCCAGGGGAGGACGGCATCATCAGTGGTATGCTCGTGTGAGTTTGATGGAGAGTAGCTTGTCAGGAGGTTTGTAATACAGCGTTATTTTTTTCCCCACCAGGCATGAGGAAAGATTGTGATCTAGCTGTGTTTATTGATGTCCCCAAAGCACTGGCTGGTAAGATTAAACCCCGATTGCTGCTGTCCAATTATCTACCTTTACTCTATATGTGTAGGAACCAATGCTACTAGTTTTATGTGTCTCTACAGATGGTATCAAGTTCTTCTGGTCTGAGAATGATGTGCTGTTGACTGAAGGTGATGCTGAGGGTAAAATTCAACCTAAATACTTCAGCCGAGCTCTAAGACTGAGACCTTCAAGTAAGAAAAACTCTTATACAGAAATAAAAGTTTAGATTTTATGCTTACGTGGATTTGGGTTCACTATTTCCTTGTTCACTGAGTTCTCTTTTGCTGTGTTCCAGGGAGCATCCTGCCACTGCAGTAACAGCAGAGAGTGCTGTCCTGTCATTGGTCATTACCGCACTCACCTGACCATGTTAGCATCCGACGGTTGGTTGATGCTTATCCCTGTTCCCCTGGCAACACTTGTTTTCCAGCAGCATCGATTTATCAGCAACAGAAGTGTATATTCAGAAATCTCCCAAAGTGG